GAGCTCTAGATATGGGTACTATAGGTATGACCTATCAATGTATAACTTAGAAGTGCTAAAAGAACTCCTGTAATGACTGAGAAGGAGATTTATGACTGTACCTCTAACTCTGTGTTTCTTTTTATATGGCAGATGGAATAACCTGCAATGGAGGAACAGCTCCAGCTTCCAAAACCTGTAGCATACTTTAGACCTATTATCAATGCAATATATGCCACCCAAAATGAGAATGCCCATGCTTTTAAAAAAAAAAAATATCATGGCATAAAAATACATTCCTGATTGGACTGTTCTGCTACTTTAATTAGGCTTATGACCAACCAGGGAAGGGCTAGATCTCGTTTGCCTTAATTGCATCTCTTCCTGATGGTGAGGAGCCAGTTCTGTCCTGTCTCTTCCTCCATTTAATGCACCTGATGTCAGGTGGCATATGGCAAGTCAGAACAACATTTGGCCCAGGAAATCAGGTTGCATGACTATGGAAGAGCATTTCTCCTGCACTGAAACACTTCTTACCCCAAAGCTGATGGGACCAGTTGAATTCATATCCTGCTTCATACAACCCCACGTGATTGACAATGTATGCAACCATAGCCCGCAGAGTAGGAAAACTGAAGAAGAGCCAAGTTTATCATATCTAAGCCTGTATCTGTTAGGATATCAGAGAGAAATCTGTGGGTAGGGATAAAGCATGAAAACTGACCATAGTAAACCTTTGAACTGCTCTAAAAAGTTATGATTCCATGTAAATCCAAAAAACTCTGACAGAGATAATAGTTCTGCACTCACTTCAAGAATTTGGATAGGTTGCTGCTCTAAAGCATGGAGCCATTCGTGCAACACCCAGCAGCTGCCATCTTCACGAGCAAGATCCACACTGTGCACTAACTGAGGCTTCGCTCTCTAACATGTGATTGTAAGAAAGAAGACAGTGTTATCATTACTCATTACAGTTACAGTTACCCAAGCAACCTGAATCGTGGCACCTCCTAAATTTGTTCTGTTTTGCCTCATAATGCCAATGTTATTTAATACAGCCCTCTTCCAATCAGTACCAACCCTCCTTCCTTTCCTCCTCCTGTTCTGAGATGTCTGGTTTTTAGATTCCTCTCCAGACTTGGAAAGACTGATGACTTGTACTCTTTTATTTCAGATAAAAGTTAGTTTTCATGTTTATTCATGCAACCATATTAGAATATTGAATTACACTCTTGTAGCAGTAGAAACACCCTTCTCTGCTCCTCTCTCTCTCTCTCTCTCTCTTTTTTTTTGTTTGGAGATCTGTTTTGCTGGGGATTTTCTTCTTCTTCTTCTGTTACTCCTGCTACCTTCAGTGCTTTTACCCTTCAGTATCTTGTTTTGCATTACAAAAATACTGCAAGTAAAAGGAAAACTAGAGCTACGGTGGTACCTGGTGATCATTTCTCTGTGTCTCAGTGCGGTGAGCAAGATGTAATCCTCTATCACTATGCAGCAATTCTGTGAGCAGCAAGTTGTCTTTCAGGAAAATACAGAAGAAACCTGTCCACTTGCATGGAAGCTAAATATGCCACTGGTAATGCTTCATGTGTATGTCTCAGTTTCATTAAGAACCATGTAGGAGGTCCTCCATCCTCCAGCATACAAAGTCAAAGAAGTCATTTTTTCAGCGGGAAAAATGCCACAAGGTTATCATATTGCAGAGTGGTGAGCAGCAGGCTTTTAAAGATCACCACAAGCCACTGTACACTTAAACGCTGAGAAAAGCTCCTTATGTTCTCAAACATGTTCTGGGAAATAAAGCCAGGAGGCTAATCTTCCTGCCCCTGTGCCCAACACGAGGCGCTCAGAGCGCTGCAGGGTGCTGCAGCAGGGCTTCTCGCACATGGAGCGCACGGTGCCTGCCCAGTACACCCAGCAGTGCTGGCAAGACCTGGGGCTGTGGGCAGCTGTGCCCATCTGCCCGCAGGCACCTGGGAGTGCAGCTCGCCCCGCACAGCATCAGGGCGTGCGTACTGCTGTGTATTTCTGAAGGGGACCATGGACGCATGCAGAGGGGTGTCCATGGACACGCAGGGTGGGGTGCCAGTGCCAACCTTTCTCAAGGTTTGCCCATTTCCATAGGAGCAGGAAAGACTCTGAGGCTCCCTTCTGTGGTGGTGGTGCTGGGGCAGCCCCGGAGCCCCACTGCAGCGGGGACATCGCCTGTGTGTGCCGCAGGAAGCTGTGCCCCGCCAGTGGGGACGGGGCAAGCCTCCCCCCTGTCTGCACCACCAGCTTCTGCATCCATCTCCCGCCTCTCTCCTGTGTGCTTGTGGCACCTGGGATGCCCCAGGCAGAGCACACAGCTCTGCTGCCCGTGCCCATTTTGTTGGACCATTTCTGTAGGTCAGTGGTTGTGTGTCCTAACTGCTCTGCAGCTGACTGCCTCTCATGTTGCTGTGGGAAGCCACATGCAGCAATCAGAGGGCAGTAAGAGAAACAGCAAGTCAAGGCCTTTCATTTTCCCCTTGCACTGTATCTGTTTCTGGTAGGATACAGTCTGTAGGTAAAACTTTTTCCCTGTGGTTTAATCTCAGGGGCTGCAGAGTTCTTGCCTGTCTTCTGCACAGAAGTTGCATCCCTGCTGGATGGTCATCGGTAACTTCTTTGAGGGGAAAGACCTGTGAGAGGAGGCAGAAGTGATCCTTGCAGGTCCATAGGCAATCAGCATGTCTGCAGTGGCGGAGCTGAGAGGAGGTGCAGGGTGCAGTGAAAGGACCAGTGAGACAACATACAGCTGCAGTCTGAGATTATCCAACAGAAAAGTGCAGGGAGGGTAGCATTTGTCATTCATCCATGGTACCCTGGGGCAGGCCCCGACCCCTTGCCTCCCAGGCTGGCACATCCAGGGAAAGCATTAATGGCACAATGCAATGCCCCAGAGAGGTGCAGATGGGAGGAAACCCTTCCCTTCCCACACTTGGGGAGATGCTGTGATGAGATGCTCCATCTGCTGCTCCTGCTGTCTTCTTGACTGACACACAGGTTATGTCCAGCCACAGCATGTACAGCCCTGAGCTCCGGGCAGCCAGCCCTTCCCTTCTGCCCCTTGCTGTGGCTCTCACTCTCACTGCCTAACACATGCTGAGTGTCTGAAGGGAACACTAACTTTCTCGTAGTATGCAGGCCAGCTGATGATTTTTTTTTTTTTTTCCAAAATGGTACCATCTAACCACATAGCCATTTTGCCAACAGATTGGGATCACTGTTCTTCTGGTCAGCAACCTCTTACGAACAGATGTTTCTACATCTTGTTGCACCATCACAACCACACCACTTGCAATTTGCTTCCCAGTAGAGGTATTAGCCAGTTAGATGCAGGTGAAACCTGGCACGGTTCCTACCCACAGTGCTCCCCCTTGGCAGCTGGGTGGTGGCTGCCTGCACTTATTGGGCATGGAGAAGGGAAGGACCAAGGAACAGATTTTTCCAGCATTTTCCCAGGCCTGAAAGAAAAGTGATGTCATTGCAACACAGCTTCAGGAGAGGTCTCCTGACCAATCAACTCCCTGTTGAGTGCTGTAGGGTATTTTAGCTCTGCTTCTGGCATATTTGCCTGTACCCCAGGGAAGTGTTTCCACCTCTGGCTTGATGCAGCTCTCAGGTCCAGTGGGAGACGAGAGGGGGCCTGTTTTGTAAGTGCCTCACTGAAGGAGGTAATGCATACAGACCTCCATTCCTTGTTTTGCAGGCCGGGGGTGGGGCGTAGGGAAATGAATATCCCTGTGCGTCTGGCAGGGGAGGTTTCTCAGAGAGGAGCTCAGGGGGGGAGAGTAAATTTTCCCTCCATGCAGAAGGAGGGTCTGGCCTGGGCTGCCAAGGGATTTTTAATGCTGTGGCTTGGCCATCATCTGCTGTCCCAGATGAAAGGGGTAGGACAAGCTGACTCAAGACAGGACGTGATTGCTCTGCTACCGAAACAGAGCATGTGGGTGCCCTTCAGCTGTTCCCTCTGCTGGAGCCTAGCTGCCTGCTGCTGCTGGGTTGTGAGTGGAGGTGCCCAGCCTGGCACTGCCAGAAATGTGGAAGCACATATGAGGTCTCTGCTGCTGGCAGAGCTGTGAGGGTGGCAGTTCCTGCAGAGGGAGGGAAAAACTGTCAGAGAGAGCAGAGACCATGGTCCTGTCTTCAGACACCTCTTGCGAATCTGGGAGAAGTGCTCACTGTCTTTTCCCAGCTGGCCACAGTCTGACTCCAGCTGAGGCTAGGAAGTGCTGCGCCCTTCCCAGGGAGGCAGGACAGGAACAGCTCAACTTCCACTCAGCTCTTCAAAGAAAGAGAAGGTACTGAATGCCACAGGTGAGGTATGGAGCCCAGCTCCACCATCCAGGCAGGTGGGTTGCATATCTTGGCACTCAACAGAGTGGCTTTGTCCTTCCGGCAGCACCAGATCCTCTGTAAGAAAACCTCCATGTGAGCCCAGAGTACTGGATCCAAGCAAGGTTTTACTGCTATCTGGGCTGAATGTGGCTTGCATCATCTATCACAAATGCTTGCAAGAGAAAAATCTTTTTTCTCTGTACCTCTTCCTCTACTCCTTCCACAAAACCTTAAAGTGGAGTAGGGGGAAGATTAGGAAAAACATTCAGTAGAGAGAAACTCCTTCTCAAGCAACAGCAAAGCACTGAGGAGTCAAACATACCTAGTTCCAGCAGAAGAAAAGGTGGCTGCAGTGCTTTCCAGACTTAGGGGATCTTCTCTCTCACACCCTTTGAGAGGAAAGGCATTTTCTTATTGCTTCCTTCTTCATCTTTCCATTCTCAGACAACTGGTCTCAGGTTAACTTTCTGCTTCAGTTTTTACCTCTTTCCAAGAAAAAGTTGCCTTTCAACAGAGCTATCTGCCTCCTCCTCTCCCTGTTTTCTTCATCCTTTGGCACCTCACACTTGTATAATACCACCTGGGGTGGGATACTCTTGTCTTTCCTGTGTTTTCCTCTGCACCTTTGAACAAGTTGCGGTTGCTGCTACTTGCTGCTGGGGGTTGCAGTACCCTCAGGCTCAAATAACACAGCTCCTTCTCCAATTATCTCAAAATCCATTGCCAAACATAACTTTCATCAAGTTTGCAGACAAATATTTGGCTTGGTGTGCAGTCATACAGCCAAGAACTGGCCTCACTTATTTCTCAGTGACAGCAGATACTTACCAAAGGCTTATTTAACATGTCCACCCCATTTTTTCTCTTATCTCTAGCAGTCTGGAAAAGAATTTATGCCCATCCTTTCTGCAGCAGTCTTCAGATATATTTGCAGTCTGTTCTCACATTCCTCCCTTCCTCTAGAGGCAATTCCATAAGCTTTCTCAGGATTGCAGGGGCTAAAGCCTGGCATTGAATTCCCTCAACTGCAAGCAGCCTGATCACGCACTGCCCAGGAAACCACCATGCAGCAATACTATGCAACCATGCAAGTGCTCTTAAGACTGCCGCAGGTGCAAAGCCAAACTCTTTCCTTTTGCACCTTTGGGTGACTGCATCCAAAACTGCTTGTGCACAGAGTCAGATGGATTACTTTTACTTTCCATGGGCCTGCCTCTCTCTTCCATGTGTTTTATCAATGAGAAAATGAAGCCTTGGATCCAAACACCTGTACAAATCCTTTTCATAGGACATGTGTATGAAATGGAGTAACCAAGCCTGTCACAGAATCAAAGAAAAAAATTATCTCTGGACTCTTGTTACAAGTCTGACCACCCACGTTGTTAGAATTTTCTCTGTACTTGCTGCAACACATATCTGCTGCCTCTAGTCCTTTTGCTGTGCATCTCTGAGTATGAGGCTGTCTTTCCCAGTTGAAGGCAACAATTAGTTCACCCCTTGGCCTTCTCTTAAAAAAAAAAGTTTACTTATCCATTTCAGTCCTTTTGCCTGCTAACTTTCCTAGGTGATGCTGTAAGATGTATTAGTGTTCACAGGTACCTTAGTCTTCCTCCAAATAGTGTTAAACTTACTACAGCTGTTTAGCATTGGCTTTTTTTGGCTTGAAGCCGATAATCAACTATTGCCTGGCCAGAATGGGGTGGCAGAGCAATAATTTGGTCACTATGGGATGGCTGTAATGAGGCTTGTGGCACTTTTCCCACCCACATGGGAATTCATTCCAACGTAAGAGGTATTACAAGGACAGCTTTCTCGCCTGGCCCTGCAGCCAGATTTTGAGGACTGTATGAAAAGGGTGGCACTCCTGCATCATCCTGTGTGGGGGATTCTTGTACCCTAATCCCTACAGATCTGACAGACATCCTTGGCTGCAAAGGAAGAACCCATCCCCTTCACATATAGAACCCAGCCCCAGCATTTATCAGCTAGCTTGCAAGAGAGACCATGGGCCCCAAATGCAGGACAGCCTCCAGGGGAAGGAGGGTAACGAAGGCACAATGCAGAAGACAACAGGAGAGTTCAGATTGAAACATTTGTGGTCCTAGAGCTAGGCAAGACATCAAAACACTAGGCGGCTAGTGCTGCAGAAACCCCTGTGTATGGCCACTGCATTGTGTCCTCTATGAAGAGAGACCTCTTACCCCACTGCGTGGGCTAGGATCCTGCTCTGTGAAACGCGCTGCATTTACTCACTATGAAGGACAGGCTCAGCTCTGCTAGGAGGAGACACACTGCCCTCAAGGGGGACTAAATCAGTGCTGGCATAAACAAACACCATGCTGGAAGTAAAAGGAGGGGAGGGATGAAACTCCCCCCTCTCTGGCACAGTCTGCACTTTAACAAGGTGGGACAGCAGGCGCAGGTGAAGGTGAGCACATCTAGCCCTCTGGAGCACAGCAGGCCACAGCTGTGCTAGCAACTGGGTTCAGCTCCAGCAACCAAAAGATAAAAGCAGTACATACCTCTACGGACAGCCCTTATCAGAACAGCAGTAAAACAGAACAGCTTGAAGTAAATGAGCATCCTGTTACAATCACATTTCACTCAAGCACTGAGTTGCAGCTGAATCCCAAGTGTTGAATTTCAGTGGTTTTTCAGCAGCACTTATTTCACATAACCACCCTTTGACAGCTTAGAGCAGCACCACAGACATGAGCTGAGCAACAGTGCTTTTTTAAAAAAAAGTTTTCTAGCAATTCAGATCTTATTTACACCTCCTGAAAATAACAGGCTTTTGGAAGAATATTTGCTTTTAAGTATGCAACACATCCTGTTATCCTGAGAGGTCAGGATATGATGCATTATTTCTGTTTTACAGAAATAGAATTTTAAGCTAATTGGCAGTCCAGATCTTTACTGTCGTTAGCATCACCTTATCATTTCAATACCTTGAGGTATACATTCAAGCCAAGAAATAACTGCAAACCCAATCATGACAACATGTAGCTGATTTTCCTGTTCCCCTTTTCTCCTTGAAAATATCCCATCTTAACGCCTTTTCCCTGTAGTTATTAGATACGTTACACTTTCAATTCAAATCCAATTCTGTTATATTTCATTTCCCTATACTCCATAGACTGCTTTCTTTTCTTAGTTGAGAATGTGCACTGGTAGTTAACGACTTATTTCTTCCAAAGCATAATCTAGAAGAGACTGTATATTTATTAAGAACAATTAGTTTAATAAAATGTAACTGTTTCCTGAAAGACTGCTATCCCTTAGAAAGATTTAAAACTGAAATCACTGTTTCAGCTGTCTAATCTGCAATGTCAGAAAAAGGAAGCTAGCCATTGTCCAAGAAACCAGACACCCTGAATCTTTGAGAGTTACTAGTATTATTTACAGTGAGAACAACAACACAAAACAAGTCACTCAACATGACAATCTACAGGGATAGGCTTTTTACCTTCTTCTGGGACATCTGAGGTCTGTACAGCTGAAGAGTATCTTAGCAGCTTACGTGCTAAAAGCAGACTTAATTTCACATTAAAGGCCATTAATTTTTTAAACGTCAGTCACCTGCATAGCCAGTCCCTTCTTCAAAAGAGGCAGACTACAATTTGACTGTAAATTGTTCTTAGCTTTGGGGAACAACATTTGACCATTTGTTAAATCTGAAAAGGTATGTGTTTAGAAACATTTAACTAGTGAGTCAGCACTGATTCCTCAGATCTCAGCATGGCTTGATAAGTCACAATCATATCTGACTGCACCATCAAATGCAAGAATTGTGCAATAATCCACTGTGATAACAAAGCTGAAAAAAGACCCGGTCAAGCCATTTAATAAATAGGTTCAGGCAGCCAGTGCCATGCCAGACTCGCTCACCTGCCCATAGATATGAAATTGTATGTATTTTCTGATCACAAACATTATCTATGAGTAACAGGTGTAGTGACTGGCTGTTGCTGGAGGAATACAATGGGGTGTTTCAGCCGCAGCAATGGCCAGCTTGTGACAAATGCTTCCTGTCACATTCTGTAAGTACTTCCACTGCTGTTCTGTGCAACTCACTCAAAAAATACCAACTGAAGTGTTTTAAGTACTTTATTGACAGAATAGCATGCAGAGTCCACCAACCACTGAACAGTTCAGAACCTAGCCATGTATTTCCATGCGTGAAATTAAGATCCAATCTTTTGTTCATTTCAGTATGGACTCTTCACTTGCTAGAAGGGAATAAAAACCAAAACATAGTTAGGACTACTAGTCACTCCCATGCAGTACTAAAATACGCAAAGCATTAGTGGAATCAAAGGCTACCTTTAAGTATGCCATTTCTTTCTACTCAGTTTTTATGATTCCAGCTTCTGCTTATTCAATAGACATGTATTTCATTGCTTTGGGGTAAAGGCACTTTTTTGGCTTACTCGTTAGTGACAGATTTCTGAACTGACAATTCAAATAAGCCCAGAAAAAGCTACCATTACAGATATGCCCCGTTACTCATCTTTAAAGAATGATCTTCAACAACTGCACTGCACCGAATGAAGTTTTAACAATTGCTTTTCCAACTGGAAAAAACACACCAAAACCACTGTTGGTAAAGCAGACCAGTCATCTCTGCACCACTTATAAATAGATTAAACATTCTAAAGAAATAATCACAGAATTCCATTATTAAGTGGAGTAGCAACACCATAGTACAGCCTCCATCTCCAAAAATACAAAAAGTTTCGGCTAAACTAGGAAACATCTAAAAGACCTATTCATTTAGTCCATGACCAATGGAGACAATATATTTAAGATAGTACAACAGCTATGCAAAATAGCTTTATCTCTAGGAAGCAATAAAATTCACCAACTTGCATATTTGATTTTATATATGTGTAGTTCATTTAATTTTACAGGGTTTTGTTCAACATTAGTCTTGTTTAGGACAATGCAAATGTCACTGTTTCCCAGGGAAACAGTTACGAAGTGTGTGGCTGCACCAAGAACACTTTGACTTAATTGATTTTCTTATAGTTCTTAACTGTACATCCACCTAAAAAAACATAGGTGAATTCAATCTAGAGAGCACACCCCTCTGTAAGGCAAGAGGAGGAATCCTCTGTTAGAAATGCACAGGGGACCCAAGAAATAATCCTACAGATGAGGGACAGCATGCTGCGGCAGGAATACTATAGGGTGGAAGGGAATGAGAAAAAAGCAGTACTAATCCTAGTTGATCACTTTCAGCATATTCTCTTCACATGAGAGATACAACAAATGATGTTGACCTCTAACACTACGCTAGTGATACCAGTTAGAAGTTTAAGATGCAATTAGAAGCAGTTACCCATGACTTCTGGTTTAGATCATCAGTCACATTTGTGAGATTTCTGTATTGCATGGAGAAAAGGCATCATAGGTTTGCTGCGTCCAGCTGAATAAGGGGCATCTGAGTACAGTTAATATACAGTTCCAGTCATTCCTCACAGAATAACCAGCAGCTTTTAGCAGTTTGTCTTCTCAGTGGAAATTCAGATTACTATTTCACAAGTCCTGTTGAGTTGCAAAAGTGTTTTTAACTCATCCTCTATTAATGCTTACATTTTGAAAAGCTTGTCAAACAGCAGCACTATTTACCCTTCACATAACCCTAACCACTGCTCCATGGATCCACGTGGGTCTGCAGCCCACTGGTTGTAAGCCTAGATTTCTCCTAATAACACTGCAGTAAAACGGCAGTCCACCTGCAAGCCAGTGTGTGCGTGCTTTGGTGTGGGATGCATAAACTAAATGGAGGGACTACCTTCTGCAAGCTCTTTTGCAATTCGCTCAAGTTCTTCACGTTTCTTTTTCTCTTCAGCCTCTATTCTTCTCTCTTCTTCAGCGATAGGCTTTAGGTAGTCTGTCATTAAAACATTTGCTATAGAACACAGTTTCTAGAACCCAGCACAAAGCTCTGCACCTGCCAGCTCACTCAAAAAGGAAGAAAAAGCAGTTTTTCTGGCACAAAGGCACGTTTCATACAAATATGTGACTTCAAACCAGTTAAAGCCCGTCTCTGAGGGCCACCTCGGCAAGGCCGAAGCAGCTCTCGCCGCGGCGGGGAGCGTGGAAGCAGCGGCCGGGCCCCCAGCCGCGCGGCCCCCCCCCCCCGCCCCCAGGGGCCCCTGCGGGGC